GATGACTTTTATATCGGCCTCCCAGATGAAAAATCGGAATTCCCTTTTCATGAGCCATATTATGCATAAGCCTTGATCTTGAATTTGGTATACCACACCTTTGCCTCACGCAAACACTGAAGCAGAGTGCCAACAAACCTATAAGTAGTTACATATTTAAAGCGACCTCTGTTTCAAGGTTACAGCTTGGAAGGTAGAAAAATAAGGGAAAAAAGCAATTTCGCATTTAATATGTGGTCTGTTGTGCTTATGAGTTTGAAAATGTGTGTGTGTGATGTCTATAGAAATACGCAACATCCCCTTTCGGAGACAGGAGCCCTCGGGGTCCTCAGACTGAGTGCACACATTGAGTTAAAAGACTTGAAGGTGGGGGGATTTCAAAGCCTCCCCTGCAGACATGCTCCAGCTTTGTGCATTTTAATGGTGAGATATTCAAATCTCAGAGTCTGCCATCCCTCACCCTCATTTCTCCAGCAGTCCATGCAGGACGCTTCTGTCTGCAGCTAATGGGATGCCATGTATGCAAGGAGAGGGCTTATTTGGGGAGGTCTCTGCCTCCTTGAGGTTAAAGGACCTTGAAATTTGCTTTCTTTTCATTCTTTTTTTCTTAACTGAATGAACTTGGATAATTAAATGGAATAAAATACATTAAAATAACGTAATAATGGTAAGAGGAAAATTGGAGAGGTTCACTAGTCATTCCCCACAGCTGTGCAGGCTATTAACAGCAGTATCAAGGCATTCTTGCGTGAAACCTTGAAGCTGCTTGCAATAAGAGTTAACAACACTCCCACTGTAAGTCCCCTGCAATGTCTTTGGTAAACAAGGAAATTAAAAATATGCACATAAACCCCAGCATTATTAGATGATATTTCCTAACTGCCACTTGGCATATGAGCAGAACCACAGCAGACTCTGTGATTTGTTCGCCTAATATTGGAATTCAGAAGTGTTAACTAAGTAAAAGTGCACTTGGGTGTTAATTTGTTTGGGGTGTCCAGACGTCTCTAGTGATTTGAGGCCTTGAAGGCTTTATGTCTGTTTGTTAAAAAACACCCATGCAACCAAACGGAAAGTTCTGCTGCTTTTATTCCTCATCTACTAGCTTTAAAGGGATATTTCACCTAAAGATGAAAATTCTGTTGTTGTTTACTTACTGTGAACTTGTAGGACTTTTTTATTCCGCAAAACACAAAAAAAGTTGTTTTGCATATACAGTGAAAGTCAATGAGGACCAAACCAGCATTGATAATAACGCTGAGACATTTTTCAAAATATCTTCTTTTGTGTTCCATAGATGAAAGAAAGGCATACAGGTTTGGAACAACAAAAAGGTTAAGGATCACAAAATGTTCATAGCTAGAAAAGAATGATAACTCAATATACTGGAGAAATTATTCAATTCTATAATGAGTATGTCATTGGCTATTTAAAAACATGATACTGAAATTAATTGAATATACTTTATTCGCTTTTTTGGGGAGGAAATGTGTTTTAGAATCGAAGTTCAATCAGAAATACATCAACACTGAACTCATCAAGCCAATTCATGGGGACAAAGCCAAAGTTGTGGGCCTCCTTTACAACTGCTAAATGACTAATGAAGGGCAGTGGACCCTACCTCTGGTATAATTAAGGACCATTTGAAATGGGCTGGGGTATACATTGACCTTCTACTAAAGGGAGGGGAAAAAACAGGAGGCATAATCTAATAGTTGCAAATTGTTGTTGCATATATTAAACATAATAGCATTGGCCCTTCGCCCCGCACTGCTTCCCATGTGGAAATGCCCTGACTGGGCTACAGATCAGTGGATGGACAGAGTTCACATGGCATCTGTTTGATCAAAGTTTCCTCACCAAAGATCTGGCATCGTAGTCGCATCTGGTCGGGCCACTGCAGACCACGGCTTCGAAATCAAACAGAGCCATTGGGTTTCAGAGTCACGGAAGATAAGAGCTACACATTCCATGCTGAAGGACATCGCTGCGAATTATTTTGCATTACCATGACAATAAAGAGAAAGGCTTCCACTTGCTACCATTACAGCAAGCGACAAATATATCATCCCTCTCCCTGCATTCTACAGAGCAGGCATTATGGTATGGCCCTAAATTGACCCTCACTTCTCCGATATCAGAACATGTATAAATACCTGGGCTAGATATCGATGTGCATGATATTAAATTTAAAAATCTTGGGACCTTAAATAATTTAAGCGTGAAAGATCACAGAGTATTTGATCTAGTCTCTGTATCAAAACTACATTACACAGAGCAAAAACTGTGACAGAGCCTCAAAAAGAGAACTTTACACTGTCTCACAGCAGAAATGTCACAACATGAGGGTTTGCGAGATGCTAGAGGGGTGTTACTGGTGCATGGATTCGCTCTCTAAAGATTTCAGCAAGGCATGTGCTTGCACATATGGCAGAATACACCGGATAGGACATTATGTGTAGCCGTGATAGAAAATCATGAATTTGTTAAGATCGCATTGTGTAAAAGCTATTGTGAGAATATCTGCATTCATTGTCAAAGCTGCAGCCTGGCAGTTTACATGCATTATGGTTGTGCCGTATACAAAAAAAAAAACCACTTCATCAGTAGCCTGAGGCTGTTTATTTGTTGCCTGAGGTATCGATGCAGAGGTAACAGAGCTCATATCAAAGCCAAACTAAAAAAATTGTGCATACATGCTGAGCTATATTATTCATGTGGGTGACTTGAGTTTGAATTCGCCTTACAACATTTCCAGTCTTCTTTCTAGCATACTGTAAATGAAGAGTAGGCCAATGGCAAGTACATATATTTTTCTTTTTGAAGAAAAAAATTAAATACAATAAAAAAAACTCTATTAGAAGAGATCAATGGCATCAAAATGCTGCTACACAGCCAACTGTACATCTGGTTCATTTGACAATAATACAAATTTCAACCTCAGAGCCAAAAGCAGATATTTGATTTGAAACAGCCCATGATACTCAGCTAGGCTTCAGTGTGCTTCTTCCACACGAAAAACTTGGATGCATTTTGTCTGATTCCTCAGTGCTCAGAAAAGCTCTAGGCAAAATACATGACCAGAGTAGGTTACTAGTTTGTTTCACGATTAAACCTCTGCGATGCTATCACCGAGCCTTGGGGATCTTTTAGCGAAGGATCGCCTCCGGAAACAATGTTTTGTCTGTCAAGATTAACCAGCGGAACACCTCTCGTCCAAATTCACCTTGAAAGCCCTGCGACTCTCGAGGAGAGTTCGAGGAGAATTCCACCTTTCCAGTTCTCTTGCTCGCTCTGTGTCATCGGGCCTGAGCTTTGGGCCAGAGTGTGTCCCTTCCCCTTCAATACACCACATCTCAATGGCCATCTAAGTCATGCGCAAGAGCCCGGCTCTGAGCAGTGACTAACAAATTTGTTGAAGAGTAAGTAATGTTAGGTTTGCTGACATTGGCAAGCCTTGCCACACGCTCAGACTGCAGAGAAAAGCAAAAGAAAATTATAAGCCTCACACAAATATCTTTGTTTTTCTTTTTTTGATTGTATGCATTGAAACAATAGCACTATTTGAAGTTGTTTTTTTATGATACAAGATACTTTCCTTTTTTTAAAGAAAAACAGCAGTCTGCTTGAGGTTAGATAGTCTTATCCTTACTCAGCACTTCCAGTCAAAATTAATTTTGTTGGATTCTGTGATGTTAGGTGTTGTATCTTCTCCAGCTGCTCAATTTCTGTTTAACCAATAGGCAACACTTTACAAAGTTTTTTCCCTACGTTAGAACTAGTTAATGCAATAACATTCATTATACTGGATTAGTGTTTCTATATAAACTAATGAATGTTTAACATTTCAGTTGTATAAATGAATCAGTTAAAATATTATGGATGAACCTGAAGAACATATATATATATAGAGAGAGAGAGAGAGTGAGAGAGAGAGAGAGAGAGTTCATTATTAGTCCATGATACCTAACTAATGCTAACCATTTGAACCATTTTGTAAAGCTTCCTTCGCATCCATTACGTTAATGTTGATGAATAAATAAGTCCATGATTTTATAATGTTGGGAAGACAACTATAAATAAACCTGCATAAAGGATCTCCCCTCATTTCTTCATGCATATTTACACCAATAAGACACAGTGTTTCCTTTGCTTTTAGCTTGTGTCACTTGATTAAGACCGTCTACCATTAATTCACCACCCTGTCTGTTTATCACCTGCAGGCCTTGTCTAAAAAGTGCTGTCCTAAATTTCCAGTTAGCAGATAAAGGTATTTTGTCATGGGGCAGGATTTGTAATTTCAAGGTATTCTAAATTATAAAAATATTAAGGTATGTGAAAATTTCAAAAAGAAGAAGAAGAAGAAGAAGAAGAAGAAGAAGAAAATGAGCATGTGCATAAATGTGAACGCCTCAAGCTTTGCTCTGTAATAGAATATTGGACTTTTCCTACATAAATTGAAGGATATAATTCAAATGAGCTGAAGCATTTTAAGGTCAAAGCAATATTAAATTCATGCAGCACTGACATAAATTGTCTGAGAAGAAAAAAGAAACTATAAAGCACTTTCTACCTGCATGTACACAGATGCAGCAATATTACAGTATGTTTACACTCTCACAGACCAAAGGGAATGTATGTATCAACTTGCATAAAAAGATTCATGGCTTTTGATGAAATTAGATTGAGATTTAGCCTCTTTAAGCACCTTTTCATCCATGTATAACGTTTCCACATACGCACAGCACAACTTTTACTGCCCCAGTCCAAAGGTGTGCCAATCTCACAGAGCTGAACTCTCAAAACTCTGACAATCACACATGAATTATGCTCTCTCCTTCTCTTTCTATCTCCATTTTTCCCTTTCTTTCCTCCCATGCATCACACATTCGACTGTCCCCCTCCAAAACAGATAAGCGCAGAACGCAGAAAAAGCAAACCACAACCACGGAAATTCTCTACACGGTGCCGATCAGTAAAATTAGCATGACAATACTCACTGTGGGGAGAAGGGGGCAGTCGGAGCGTGGCAAGTCACTCTGTCCGACGAACCTGCACGGGTGGAAGAGCGGGAGAGAGAGAGAGGACAGTCAGCTGTGAAAGCACAGTTAAGAGAAAGGGAGGGGTGACGAAGAGCTGGCACATACAGAAAAACAGAAAAGAAACTGAAACACAGAGGAGAACAAGGATGAAGCCGAACGGTAGGAGAGAAATGGGGAGGCAGCAGAGGGAGGGAACATGTGATGAGGATAAAGGACACGTGGGAAGATGCTGTACTTTTAAAAGTTCGACACACAAATGGGAGAGTTTTCTTACTGTTATTCAGTCATGTGACACCACTGGGTGAACTAGATACCTTATTTAACCAAGCAGTTGGTGCATGATTGTTTATTGTAGCAACAGCACCAGGCAAATAATGAGCTTCATTGTGCTTTGCATAGCAATAAAACAAGTTATTGCAGTTTTAATGATTTTTGGGAATGCATTAATAAAATAATTTACTTTTGTGGTTTTATTTTCTGGCCCTCACGCTGTTCAAAACCCATAGGTTGTTATACTATTTGTGGAACTCAAGAAAATACTTTAATTAATCTCCACACAGAAATTTTCCATACATTAACATGTTCATGGTGGCCACAAGCTGTTAAATGCCCCCCAAAAAACCATAAAAGGCATCCATACGACTTATGTGCTATATTAAGTTTTCTGAAGCCAGCTTCAGATAGCTTTGTGTGCTGAAAAGAACAAAATGTAATCATTAATAACTGACTTTTCACTTCTGCTGCAGTTTTCAAATCAAATATGGCATCTATAGTGAAAGTTAAATGTCATATGGACCACTTTTATGGTGATGTTATTGTGTTTGAGAGTCTGAAATCGCTATTTTAGTATGTTTCACTGAAAAAAAATAGCAGCATATAAATTTGGAACAACATGAGGTTGAGTAAAAAAATTACTGAATTTTTGTGTTTTGGTAAAATATTCCCTAAAGCGTTTTTTACAGACTAGTGATTGTCTTGAATATTTAAGTGTGTGTTTCGACAGCTCAATTAGATCACTTTATCTCTGAACTGCCTTTGATAGAGAACTGATGATCAACCTCGCAACACTTCACTGTAAACCATCTTTTAGTCTCTCAGTTGTTGTCCAATCTCTCATTCTCTCTTTCTTTCCATATTTCTCTCTCAGGGGCATTTTTTCTGCGGAAGCAGTGCCACCACAAAAAGATTCTGATGAGCAATAATCAACTATACAATGAATAATGTATAAGCCACCCAAAGTAACACTGTCTAAAAGGTACAGTCACATTAACCAATTTTCTGTGATTTCTTTCGTGGGCAAAATTCAGTAATTTTAACAGGAATTCATGTGATCAGATTTTTTTTGTGAGATTCTCCCACACAGATTTTGCATCGGATTCAAGTTGGCCAAGCGAATTTGGCTCATTAACCAAAAAAAAAAAAAAAAACTTGATTTTGCTTGGTTTGAAAGGGACTTCTGTGTGAGATGTGCTTCAAACATCGCTAAACTTGTTTTTTTTTTTTTTTTGCAACAAGGATACCAGTGGATAAAGTTTGATGGGGGAATGCAGTGTCTCTTACTGTATGTCTCCCTTAAAGAACAGTGAAATACTTAAAGAAATCGCCTAGTCACATGAGAGAAGCCAAGTCACTGTTACTGGTTGATTATGCTGACAATATGAACCCACCTATCACATTCGCAAGCACTCCACAGATCGCGAATAAACTGGTTAAATGACTAATTACACAACTCACCCACTCACATCACCACTTTCAGTCACAACCAGATCAAAATGAACTTACAATAATGACCTGTGAGTAAGCCGATTTTAAGATTGTAATTACATCTCGATTTGATGACTAATGGATTGAAAGGAAGGTGCAAATAAATCCAAATGTTAGTGGGAACAAATAAATGCTACTGTACAATAAACATGATTTTGGCTTTATGATATTGTTATTTTTTAAGCAAAAAGCATAATAGTATATTAATAGAAACACACTAAAACATTATATTTGTTGTGTGTTGCTTAATTCTGATCCATCCAGTATGTCTTAAACCATAAAATCTATGTAAAGATCAAATGGAACTGGAACATGAATTTACATTGAACTAAAAAACCCAAATGCAGAGAGAGACTTTCAGGAGTCCACAATGCAACACTCTTCTATCTGCTTCTCGATGTGTGTGTGTGTCTTTCTCTTCTTCTCTCAAGTGACAAAAGCAAGACCCCATTCCTAATCTGACCCCAAAACAGCAACGAAATCCCCCCGGCCTTATCATCCTCTGCCTGGGCTCTGTTCTCGCTCTTCTTTCATATCCCCTGCCTCTCTTTCTTTCTTTCATTCTCTCTCTCTCTCTCCGTCACTCTCCATTGCATCCTCTCTCCCCAGTATAACCTCTTCCTCTGTCTCCTTCTCTCTGTAAACGGCTTTCAGCCGAGCAGAGATTACCTAGACCATGCTCTTCAGAGTAGCTTCAAAAAGGGTGCTCTGGGCTGCCAGCCTGGATAACACCCCCCTCCTCCTTCCGCCCGAGTGGAGAGGGGGGAAAGTCACAGAGAGAGTGGCTTGGAAAATGCTTGCAGAAGGGGGGAAAAAACAGATGCTGAGGATGTCACACACTGGCTATGTTGACACAATGTTTGGGACTGACGAACATATTTACTACAGGTGTGATTTCTGAATTGTTCTGTTCACACAACAGCTATAAAAGCAGCATGAATACTATCTATGTGAATGAGAATGAACAGTTGAAGTAACACTAAATTAACCAAATGTTTTTAAAATAAAATAAAAAAAAAGCTTTACAGTAAAATGCTGTAATTTGAATTAATGGTAAATTGTATTACATTTACTATCCACAGGCCACTTCAGAAGGACTCCTAAGTGATGCTATTTAAAGCATGCTGAACTTTGCCAGCTTGCCAGTCTCACTTAGTTTTGATATGCACATGCTGAGCTGATGATTAGCTATTAGAAACAATCCCAAAACACGTTTGTTCTCCTTTGACCTGCATTACAGTTTGACAACCTCAGTGCATTAACATGATGCATGCTTGATTTATTTGCTGTGAGATGCATCATATGAGATTCATAGAGAAAGTGCAAACTGTGAAATTGCTGTAATAATTGCACCTATGCAATTGTGTGGGAAAAACTGCTAGGTGGTATTTTCAGGTCATGATGAAAGTTTACAGATCAACTTAATTACTAGTAAATATAATCAAATGAATTACATGGAATGGCAATTAGTATTAATAATCAAATATTACTATACAAGGGATAGTTCACAAAATATAGAACATTCTGTTATGAATTACTCATCTCCAAGTTGTTCCAAACCTGTAAGAGTTTCTTTCTTCAGTTAAACACAAAAGAAGATATTTTGAAAAATATTGGAGGTTGCAGTTGTTGGTAGCCATTGGCGTCCATGGCTACCAGAAATATTTGGTTAGCAACATTCTTCAAAATATCTTCTTTTGTGTTCAACAGAAGAAGAAAAAAAATCACACAGGTTGAGAACAACATAAAGGTAAGTAAATTATGACATCCCCTATAGTGTAATTCTTCATTCGTTCACTACATTTTTGAGGCCAAAACCACAGTTCAGAAAGTCTAATCCCTTTGTATTCTTTGATATGCAATCTTTGATGTGCATCCCTCCCTGTGTAAACCCAATGCCTTTTTCTCTGTCACCATGTCCAGCCTGTCTCCATGTTATGTTAGACACACTCTCTGCCCTCTTGCTCCCCGAGAATGTCCAATTAGAGGAAGGTCGGATCTGGTAGCCAAGTGTGAGGCAGCCACTTATTCTGTTACCGTTGGCCGATCCGTCACGCTCCTCTCCAGCTTTCTTTATTTTATTCTTCCTCCCAAAAGGCAGTGGCTAACTCTATCACCGGGACAAATGACCCATCAGTGGCACCATTCATCAGCTGCCTTAGAATCACTCGCTCCGGCCACAGTCCCACCCATCCACCCCCTGTGAAACAGGACCGCCGCTCCCACCGGCTTCCCCACTGAATCTTACGTTGTGTGTGTTTGCACACACGTGGGCATGAAAGCAAAAATGAGAGAATGAGCCTTTGTGCGTGCAGCGCTCGGCTAAACTGCATTATAAATCTCTCCCACAAGTAAAATAAACACATACAAACACGCCATCCGAAATAGAACCACCTCCTTTACCAAACATATATACATAAGCTTTTGTCAAAGCCCTTTGTCTGTTTTTATTTGCTTGTCAGTGTTGTTGTCTTGTCTTATCCCTCAGCAGCTATTCTGACGCCCCCACACCGTCCCAACACCTCCACCCAGGGCGAGAATCTTTACATAAGTGATGAGAAGGAGAGCAAATGAAATGACTGTAATTTGGTCAGGGGCACCGTGAACGTCCTGCTTAATAGAGGGGGCCGTCTTTCCCATTGCTCTGAGACGAGCTAGGTGGGTGCGTTCTTATTAATTAAGACAGTCTCATTATCGCCAGTCCAGGCACTCGATGAGTGAGGGAAATCAGAATTAAAAAGTCAAGCAAACTGCAAAGGAAAAGACAGCTAAGACATGACAGATGGTCTTTCGTCATGCAAGGCTTTATCGAGAAAAAAATAAAATTGAAATAAATAAATAATGAGCTTACGGAGAGCAGAACTAGCACATTTTCTCCCTCCTCTTCTTAATTCTGAGCAATTAAAATGTTTTTTTTTCCTTCAATAGCGCAAAAAGCATATGGGGACATTACTCATTTGGTGCTGTTTTGCCAGTATAGTTTCCATGGCAACCTTGGAGCAAGAAACATGACTCTCTTTGCTGGTAGATACAGAGTCACTGGCGTAGCCTGTGGTTCTCGAGATGTGAACTTTGACTTTTTCCAGCCTCAATTTAGCAGTGAATCTTGTTACGGTACAAAATATTAGACCTATCCTTCCTGGGAATCATCACACAAAATACCAAAACACAATAGCACAAAACATATTATTATTATTATTGTGAATAATCGTGAGCGAAAATCTGCTTAACCATCATGCATATTTA